GGACTCTGTCTTAACAAGCTCTCCAGGAGATTCTCGGAGGTTTCGGAACTGCTGCTTTGGCATCTTGTAGCTGTTTCCTTTGGCTGCAGTGAGACACTGCCAGGAGTGGAGGGGTGATCCTAGGAGCACTAACGGTGTTCCCTGTTAACTGTGGCCATGTCCGTTCCAGGGGGACTTAAGTGAACAAGCTCTTTTGGTCAAATTCCCCTTAAGTGGGTTTTCTCTTTTCTTCAGATCCCCAGATGTTGCAAACCATAGGTTCTTCCCATTACCACTCGTTAGTTCGTCCTCCCTGGTAGAGGTATGTTTGTGATCCCTTTCTAATGTCAAAAGCCTTCTGCCACCCTTGAACCTCTGCTGATCCTTTCCCTTTGTTACAACCTTTTCCTTATGGTCATCTTGAGTTGCTTAAAAAATTTAACATCCAACATGGTGTTCTTTGTATTTCTCACAGCAGTAGCTGCACTATATATTTTGATAGCACTTTGAGTCAAAACTATTTACCAGAACTCACCAGAAAATGTTATGAGGAAAGGCCACACATTGCAAGCACACTTAATTCAAGAAAACACAGAAGGACATACTTAGTATGAATGCTGATGCAAACTCACCAGGACTGTCCAGGGATGTCAGTAACAGTTTTTCTTTGACTGAGAGATTAAGGAAATGTATTGCAGAGTTTGGTAATAGATGACAGAGGGGAAGGGAGGAAGGGGAAAAGTTTGACAGAGATTTTTGTAATCAAAAAGTATTTCCAAGACTAATAGTATTCTAATGAATCAACATGCGTGGGGCAGTGTTAAATGGAGTAAATGAGTATGATGAAAGTGAATGGCATCTTATGACTTAATCTTCGTATTACTTTATAAAAATACATTCTTATATATATGAGTGTATGCTGCAGCAGCAGCAGCAGTATGCTTTTAAAGACCCAAATCTAAATCCTGAACGTGCATCAGAATGACCTTGAAGCTTGTCAGAACTACAAATTTTCATGCTTGCTGTGGCAGCACAAATACCAAAATTCAAGCCTGCAGAGAAAATTAGCATAGCCCCTGTGCAAGGATGACATGAAGATTCATGAAGCATTCCATATTTTTAAAAATTTTCTGAGTTCCAAGAGACTTTTATTTTGGTAGGCCTGAGGCGGAGTCCAGGAGTCTGGATGTAAAAACCACTCTAGGTGATTCTAGTGCAGGTGGTCCTTAACTTTCATTTTGATGCAAATCTCACTCAGAAAGAGGAAAACCTTTTGATTTGTGGTTGTGAGGTAGTAAGGCTCAACCAGTGTCAAAGTATCTTTGGATCCCCGTGATGCATTAAGTCAAGCTCTTGACTAGCACATGCTTTCTGTCTAGTTCTAGAGTTATTTGTGCACTTGCCTCCACCCTCAAAAGGCTCCCCAAGACACAGGAATTATGTGGTATACTGACATTTGTATCTTCAGCTAGACTCACACCCTGCCTTCTCCTTATTGAGAAGATGCTCAATAATATTTGTCAAATGAATGAAGGCAGTAAGGGTTAGAATGCAATTCAGTGAGTGTGATTGAAACAGATCCTTTCACCCCCAGCTTTTGAGATCTTAGAGTCAGGTTTCTGTCTGTGTCTCAGCCCTGCATTTGTTATGTGGGAGGTCAGTTTCTTCTTCCTTCATAGGGCTGCTTTGGGGTAAAATGATGTAATGTATGTGAAAATTCTTTGAAATTGCAGAGCCACTTGTTTCAGGTTTTTAGAGTATGACTGTCTTTTTTTCCCCTCTAACTTCATGTTTCCTGTGAACAAGTGTAACTTATATGACTGAGGCAAAGGACACAACATTCACTTCGGGCAATTGTGGGAAAGTGAATCCTATTATTTGAAATTGGAAAGAACCACCTGGCTTTTCCAACTTCAACACTAAAAATTGTAATATAAATAGAATAACTACCCCACAAATAACGGGGAATGCAAAGGAAGGGAAATACACAGGGGAGCAAATGAGCTATTCACACTGATGTTTGACTCTGAGACTTAACTTTCAGATATCTGTGTGTAATGAAGTGATCTCTGAACTTTAGTGGCTCCCCTAAGATCCCCTTAAAAGGTAACTGTTGTCTGATAAGATAAGCTGAAAGGTACAAGTATGTAACATCCCTTTCAAAACCTTAAGGTAAAGATTATGATTACTCCTCAAGCTAAAAAGAACCAAAGAGTTGAAAGAAACTAGGTCACTTAGACAGGCAATGTGCCCTGGGTGGTAAATGCTGGTCCAAGTCTGAAGCAGTACATAGCCCAATGAGGAAAACAAGGACGAGGAGTTTTCCATGAGAGTATATGTATTCAGTTGAGCCTATATTGTCTTTTATGTGTGTATCTATTTATTATTTTACTTTAAAAAATTGAAGCATGTTTGATTTACAGTATTTTATTAGTTTCAGGTATATGGCATAGTGATTCAGTATTTTTCTGACTGTAGTCCATTATAGGTTACTACAAGATGATGGCTGTAATTCCCTGTGTCATACAGTACATTCTTATTAGCTATTTTATACACAGTAGTTTGTATTTGTTAACCCATTCCCCTAATTTGTCCCTTAGCCCTCACCTCTCCCCTTTGGTAACCACAAGTTTTCTATATCTGTGAGTCTGTTTCTGATTTGCATATATATTCATTTGTATTATCTTTTAGTTCCCACATATAAGTGATAATCTTATAAAATATGTTTTTATATGACTTTTCCCACTAAGTATAGTATTTTTTAAGTCCATCCACATTGCTGTAAATGGCAAGATTTCGTTCTTTTTTTATAGCTGAGTAGTATTCCATTGTGTGTGTGTATGTAGCACATCTTCTTAATCCAGTCATCTGTTGATAGACTCTTGGGTTGCTCCTATGTCTGGGCTATTATAAATAGTGCTGCTTTGAACATTAGGGTGCATATATCTTTTTGAATTAGTGTTTTGTTTTTTCCTGGATAAATGCTAGGAATAGAATTGCTAGATCATATGGTAATTCTTTTATTAGTTTTTTTAGGAATCTCAAACACCCTCTCCAACATTTGTTTTTTGTAGACTTTTTGATGATGGCCATTCTGACAGGTGTGAGGTGATATCTCATTGTGGTTTTGATTTGCATTTGTCTAAAAATTAGTGGTGGTGAACTTCTTTTCATGTGCCTGTTAACCATCCAAATGTTTTCTTTGGGAAAATATCTATTCAGATCTTCTGCCCATTTTCTGATTGGGTTGTTTTTCTGATATCAAGTTGTATTAGCTGTTTACATATTTTGGATACTAATCCTTTGTTGGTCACATTATTTGCAAATATTTTCTCCCCCCATTCCACAGTTCGTCTTTTCATTATGTCATTTGTTTCCTTTGCTAAGCAAAAGCTTTTAAATTTAACCAGACCTCATTTTTTGTTTTTGCTCTTCTTTCTTTTGCCTTAGGAAACTGATCCAAAAACATTGCTACAATTTATGTCAAAGCTGAAGCTCCAATACTTTGGCCACCTGAGATGAAGAGCTGACTCATTTGAAAAGACCATGATGCTGGGAAAGATTGAGGGCAGGAGAAGGGGATGACAGAGAATGAGATGGTTGGATGGCATCACCAACTCAATGGAAATGGGTTTGGGTGGACTCTGAGAGTTGGTGATGGACAGGGAGGCCTGGAGTGCTGTGGTTCATGGGGTCACAAAGAGTCAGACACGACTGAACGACTGAGCTGAACTGAACTGATGTCAAAGAGTGCTCTGCCTATGTTCTCTTCTAGGAGTTTTTTGCTTTCCATTCTTACGTTTAGGTCTTAAATCATTTTGGATTTATTGTTTTACTTGGTGTGAGGGAATGTTCTAATTTCATAGTTTTAATCTCATTGTTGGCTGTCCAGTTTTCCCATCACCACTTCTTGAAGAGTTTGTCTTTTCTCCAGTGTATATTTTTGTTGTAGATTAAGTGACCATAGGTGCATGGGTTTATTTCTGGGCTCTGTATTGCTCTATTGATCCCTGTGTCTTTTTGTGCCAGTACCATACTCTTTAAGTTACTATAGCTATGTAGTATAGTCTGAAATCTGGGAGAGCTATATCTGCAGCTTTGTTCTTCTTCCTCAAGATTGGTTTTTGGAGTCTTTTGTGGTTTCTGTGAACTTTAGGCTTATTTGTTCTAATCTAATTATCTGTGGGCAGTACAATGACTGAATTATTTTAGAAACAGCTATAGGCCACTCTGTAGTACAGAGGAAGCAAACACAATTGCTCTCTACTCTTTATCTGAAATTCTCATTTTACTCTTACGGAAAGCCTGTGGCTTAAACTTTTTTAAAGACAATCACTTTGTTCAAGTTCTATATCAGAACCTGAGGAGGACCATAATGTGAGGACAGATCCAGGTTTTGTGAGGCTGGAAGCTTTAGATAGTTTAGGGGGCTCTATTGTTTAAAAAAATACAGTAATAAATTTAAACATTTGATACAAAAGTGAGTAATTAGAAGGAAGCAATCCTTCCAAGTGGTGGTCACAAAGGTGGAGTTTCATTTGTTTCCTAGAAACGTGCCTCTGGAAGCAAAATTTTAAGATAAAGGGATTTGCAATAGAATGTTGATGGGTGGGACATTTCCAAACATTTACCAGTGAGAGAAATACATATATGCTACATGTGGCTCCAGAGACAGACGCTACGCGCCAAATGGTCAGAGCAGAGAGAAGCAGGGCTGTGGTGCAGAGCAGAGGAGGGCCGCTCTAAATTCTACATGCAGGAAGCCTTCAGATACTTGGAATGCTTAAGAGAACTGAGTAGACTTTTCAAGTTAATCAAAAACAACAGCAAAACCCCCTCATTTATTGGCCATCAAAACTTAAAAATAATACAATCTTTTTCTTTTTTTCAATTTCCCCGTAGGTTTAAGAACTTAAAAAAAAAGTCAATCCATGTAATTTACCAATTGAGTTTAAGAAAAAAAGAAACCAAATAATTACTTAGAGGGGGAAATAATAAAATATTTATTCTTGCCTTAATAGAGAATCCTCTGTTGCTTGGGTGACTGAAGTAGTGCCCATTCCTGGTGGAAACATGGATGTTGGCCTCCTTAACTGCCTCCCAGAGATCATTCAACTGGTAGAGTTATGGTGGGAACATTGGTTTGACTGTGGTGAAGCTATAAATGCTCAATTAAAATTTATTGAATGAATTAATGAACCAAATGAATGGTTCCAGTTTGGACAAATCAGAGCAGTTTCAGAAGCATTTTTATTTCTAAGAATTCTATAATCAAATTTTATCAAACTCTTGAATGCATTGAAAACTCCTTTCTGAATATGGCCTACATTTGACAGCAAAAGGATTAGGAAATGGAAGGAAACTTTTACTGAGCGCCTGACATATGCCAGGTATTTTGCTGATGTCTGTATATTTCTTTAAGCTCTGTAACCATTTTGTGGTGTTGGAAACTAGATCTCAGGGCTAAATAACTTGTCGGTGGCCTTTCAGGGAGCAAGTGGCAGAGCTAGGATTGTTGTCCTAAACCAACTATGAGTAGCACTCCCTTCCACTTTCAATAGTGTTCTACTGTGGATCATAAAGTCTAAGGCTGCCCTATCTATATATGAGGTCTTGATTCTATGATTTCAAATTGAATCTAATAATTTTTTTGATTACTGAAGCAACAGGAACTTTCATTTCCCAGGCCTGTGAAGTATGAGGGACTGACAGCACATGAAGTGACCCCTGTCTAGAGTTTGCTTTACATTTCTGATACAGAAATTCTGCTATTTCTCCTTTAAAAGTATAGTTGTTAATCCCCTTCTGGTCAGTTTGGTTCTAGTTAATTTGGGATTATTATATAAGTATTTACTTCTATTAATAGTGGCTACCACTTATTGAGTGCTTAGAGTAAGTCAGGCTAAGTACATGGTCTCATTTAATGCATTTATTAATATTATAAGATAGTTTCTTACTTTCTAGATAAGGAAACTGACACTCAGAGCAATTAAGTGACTTGAAGGAAGAGATGAAAGCAGATTTTCCTAATCTCTTAACCTTTATACTACATTAAGATGTGTATACAAACACACAGCAGATAATTTAAAAAACTGTCAAAGTTGGAGACAAGATGGCAGGTAGAAGGACTTGAGTTCACCTTCTCTCATGATAACACCAAAATCACAACTGACTGCTGAACCACCACTGACAAAAAAGATCCGAACCTACCAAAAAAGACATTCTACCCCAAAGAAGCCACAACAAGATGGTAGGGGGGTACTTTTGTGATATAGTCAAATCCCATATTTCCAAGTGGGTGGCCTACAAACTGTAAAATAATTATATTGCTGAGGATCTCCCACAGGAGTGAGAGTTCTGAGCCCCATGTCAGGCTCCCCAGCCTAGAGGTCTGGCACTGGAAGGAGGAACCCCAGGAGCACTTGGCTTTGAAATAGGCAGGGCTTGAGTGCAGAAGCTCCACAGGACTGAGGGAAACAGATTCTACTCTTAGACGGCTCACACAAGCTTTCACTCTGGGACCCGGGGCAAAGCAATGACACCATAGAAGCCTGGGCCAGACCTACCTGTGAGTCTTTGAGAGTCTCCTGCGGAGGCAGCAGTCAGCTGTGGTTTACTGCGGAGGCAAGGACACTGGTGGCAGATGCACCAGGGAATGCTCCTCTGCATGAATTCTCCTGGAGGTTGCCATTTTGGCACTGAGACCTGGTCCCGCCCAACAGCCTACAGGCTCCAATGCTGGGACGCCTCAGGCCAAACCAACAAGGTTGGAACACAGCCCCACCCATCAGCAGACAGGCTGCCTGAAGTCATCCTGAGCCAACAGCTGCCAATAAACACACCCCTTAACATGGGCCCTAGCCATCAGAGTGACAAGACCCCATTCCACCCACCAGTGGACAGGCCAGTCCCTCCCACCAGGAAGCTTGCACAAGCCCCTGGACCAAATTCACCCATAAGGGGCAGACTCCAGAACTAAGAAGAATGACAATTCTGTAGCATGAGGAATGGAGACCACAAACACAGGAAGTTAGGCAAAATGAGACAGTAGAGAAATATGTTCTAGATGAAGGAACAAGATAAAACCCCAGAACAACAACTAAGTGAAGTGGAAACAGGCAATGTACCTGAAAAAGAATTCAGAGTATTGACAGTAAAGATCACCCAAGATCTCAGAAAAAGAAGGGAGGCAGAGACCAAGAGGATGCAAGAAATGTTCAATGAAGAGCTAGAAGATTTAAAGAACAAACAAACAGAGATGAACAATACAATAACTGAAATGATAACTACACTGGAAGGAATCCATAACAGAATAAATGAGCAGAAGAATGAACAAGTGAGCTGGAAGATTGGCAGAAATCACTGCAGGGGAACAAAATAAAGAAAAAAGAATGAAAAAAAGTGAGGACAATCTAAGAGACGTCTGGGACAACATTAAATACACCAATATTCACATTATGGGGGCCCCAGAAGGAGAAGAGAAAGAGAAAGGGTCTGAGAAAATATTAGAAAAAAGATAATAGTCGAAAACTTCCCTAACATGAGAAAGTAAATAGTCACTCAAGTCCAGGAATCCCTGAGAGTTCCATACAGGATAAACCGAAGGAGGAATATAATGAGACACATATTAATCAAATTGACCAAAATTAAAGACAAAGATAAAATATTAAAAGCAACAAAGGAAAAGAAAAAATAATATATAAGGTAATCTCCATAAGGTTATCAGCTGACTTCCCAGCAGAAATTCTGCAGGCCAGAAGGGAGTGGCTCGATATATTTAAAGCAATGAAAGGGAAAAACCTACAGTCAAGAATACTCTACCTATCAAGACTCTTGTACAGATCTGACAGAGAAAATAAAAAACTTTACAAACAAGCAAAAGCTAAGAGAATTGAGCACCATCAAACCAACTGCACAACAAATGCTAAAGAAACTTCTCTAAAAACCTTGCTGATATCAAGTATTTATAAAGACATGGAACAAGAGGATGTCGCATGCAGTGCAGCACAGTAGAAATCCGTGCATCACCTATTAAAACTGACCAGTCAATTCTATTCCTACACACTTATGGATGCTAGCAAAATTCTTGCACATGTACACCAGGAGATGAGAATACAGTTTATAACAGTATTATTTGTTAATAAATAAAAACAACCTGAAATTTCCATTAACAGGAAATAAACAAACAAATGTGATATAATCGTAGCGTGGACTATCAAATAGCTGTGGACAGCAAGTGGCATGGACAAGTCTCAGTAATGCTGAGGGGGGATAAAGTAAGTCCCTGAAAAATATATTCCAGCAGTCAGGAAAAGATGAGATTTTGAAAACCGAGAAGTAAGTCAGACAAAGAGAAGAAAGGACACTGCAGTCATGGAGAACAAGGAACAGCAAAACCCATTTAGGAACTGCAGATGCATGACACCTCCTCTGACGCATGTCTCCCTAACACAGAATTCTGATATACCCGAATTCACTTCTGGATACCTTTTTCTGAACCATGAGAAATTCTGTAAGTGAATTAACTGCTTATTAGGAATAGTTGTAGGAGAAGAGTGAGGATGGAAAGTCAATAAAAGATAAAGCAGTTAGAAAAGAAACAGAGATGATTACAATTAATTCCTCTCTAGGAAGCCAGGTGGGGGAAATTAAATCTTGTGGTTCTGCCTGCCCTCCAGTAGCATCCTAAAGAGGAATGGAGCAAAGGTCAATGTCGGTCATGCTTCAGTGTCAAGATTACCAAGATTAAAGGAAAATACACTAACCTGGGGGCTTCCCTAGCGGCTCAGATGGTAAAGAATCCACCTGCAATGCAGGAGACCGGGATTCCATCCCTGGGTTGCGAAGATCCTCTGGAGGAGGAAATGGCAATCCACTCCAGTATTCTTGCCTGGAGAATCCCATGGACAGAGGAGCCCGTACAGTCCGTGGGGTCGCAGAGTCGGATATGACTGCGTGACTAACACACACGCTAACCTGAAGATTGAAAGCTATACTAACCTGGAGATTGAAGAGAGATTTTAAAAGTCAAAGACAACTAAAGCTTTTCTCTGTGCTTTTTCCACCTCAAGCACTTAAGTTATGCTGTCTGAGATCACAATGGGAATGATCAATGGTGTTTTTAAAAGAAAATATTTGTGTCCAGAAAGAAAGGTTACTACAGTAGAGCTTAGTACTCAATTTATTGAAGCTATAAACTCAGAAATTGTTTTTATGGCTGTTTAAATTCAGTTTGCAAATCTTGCTTCTTTTTTTTCCCCTAAGAAATAGAGTAATTGTCCAAAAACAAACAAAAACTCTATTGAAAGTGAAAAGTAGGAAAACCCTATTGGGCCTCCTAAATTTCCACTGGCCTTTCCTTATTTATCAGTGTCAGTGATAATCTTTGTAATTACATCTTCCATTCTTTCCACCATCCACCATTTACTTCAGAGTAGAGGCATTTGCCTCAAGTAAACAGACAACAAATTTTGACTAAGATGCAAGTTCTCAGGAAATACAAGGAGATTAGAAAGTGGACTGCACTAAATATTTACTTACTCTATGGACCTTCTTCTTTTTTCAGTTTGTCTTTCTTTACTAGAGTATAAAGCAGAAATCAGACACTTGTTTTTTCACTTATATTTACATAGACAGTACTTAAAATAAAACCCACCAGATGACAGTCTTACCATTCTGCTTTTATTTATTGTCTGGCTAATTTACAAAGACGCAGATATCTAGGGTAGGTCCTACCCCACCATATAAACTATCCTGATGACATAGGTACCAAAATGTGCATGTTTACATAGTACAGTGGTATGAAAAACATTTTCTTGCTTTACAGTCCCTCACTATAAATAGGGAAAAATTAATTTCATCATGCCAGAAAATTTTGGGCACTTTAACAGTCATCACATTTCTGCTACTAAAATAAAAAAATTGATATTACAAGTTAAAATATAAAGGCCTAACAGTTTTTACAAATATGCAAATAATCTGCTACTTAGACATAAAAAGTCAATTTCTCTCAAATCACCAAGTAAGGCACCATTGGATTAAACATTTTTCTTGGTTTTTACTAAATAAAATGCATACTGAAATAAATACTGAACACTGAATTTTAATACTGTAATACATTTCCATATAAAATGACATGTAAATGTTAAAATACTGTATTGCATCTTGAATACATTTACCTGAAAACTTTATGGGAAAAAAACATATGTAAGCTCTGGTTTCAGGGAAGGATGTACTAATTTCTGTTATCTGCTATAGTTAAAGATTTTAGCATAGAATTTATTCAAAGTTTTGGAGACAATTAGGTTTCTAAATTTCAAAGAAAGGGTGTACATGTATTAATGGAATATTCACTTAAAAATACATTTTAAAACATCTCTATCCTGGGTGAATAGCAACTCTGAGCTGTGACCCTGTTTCACACTTTAGGATGGTACCTGCAAAGTTGGAATATGTATAGAAATTGGCTATTCTTACTACCCCTTACAAAATTCAGACCCATTTTTTGGGGGTCAGATTTTTCTCTGCCATATTTGCTAGGAGAGTTCAACTCCATCTTTCCTGAAGTGGGTCAACATGCTTTTATCATAAGGATTTTTACCAACTATTGATATCTGATCAAAGAATTCAAAATAAAATGATGGCATATTATCAAAGTATTAGAGATTAAAAGCTTTTTTCTGAAAATACTTTACCAAGTTTGTTACACCTTTATATTCCTTGATTTTCTTTGGGTAAAGGGCCCCAAGTGAATGTATGAAAGACAAATGGAATGGTAGAGGAGAAGTGGGGAAAAACCCAGGTTATCTAATGTACTAATAAACCCAGAACTTTGGCAAGGAAAGTTATAAAAATACAATATACTCAAATGGGCAACTTCATAATTTATTAGACATCCCATTTATTAGAATTCTAAGTTCTTTTGATTTTATAAAAATGAAACAATTATTCTATAAATATGAATGCTTCTTTCAAATTTTTCTTTGGATTGATTTCTTGTTAGCATCTCCCAGGAATACATGAACAATACACTGAAACCATGATACAAGGTTTAGGTAGATATACATATACATATATAGCTGTGAACTTTTAAAAAATAAGTAATGGTAATTTTAAACATAATCAACTATATAAAACATCTAAATGGAAATAATTTTTTCCAAGTCTACAGCTAGATTTAAAAGTCCCAGTAAGGTTTTGTAAACAAAATCATACAAAAAAGGCAAGGCTGGCTCATCCCTATGTCCTCTGGGGGAGCTTTATTTGCATAGATCCAAGGCAAACGATTCTCCCAGGTAGATTCAAAACAAGTTCCCTCCAATTTCCAGCAGCAATCTCTTTCTCTCAACCCCATAAGCATCAGATTTCAAATTTTAGAGTTTTGCCCATCAATTAAAATCTGTTCCCTTCTTCCACATTTCTGATTTGCTACCTTTCTCTGACTTTCCCCAACTATGGAGCCTATGAGCCTCCTGCCCTAAGGAACAAGCTGGGCTGGAGAGGAGTGAAGCCACTTGAAATGCGTTACGGCAGGAAGCCAACCAACAGGTGAGCTTAAGGAAGCTGGTTCTGAGCTAGAGAGCCCCGACTGGCTTTCAGTTTCTTTTCAATGGCTTTATTCCACATAACTGTAAACCCTATTAGATCAATTTCTGACCTTGGTACTGTGAAGCAACACTTGTATACAGATTCCAAGGGAAGAGGGAAAATAAGGGAGCAAAATCTAAGGAAAACTATTTGCCAAACAAGGATCCTAACTTTATTTTTAGCTACCTCTTGAATTGCTATAGCTCATCTGGCCTTTTCTGTTTTTGAAACAAGAGGTGTTTGCACTAGGCTCTATCTTATAGAGCTGTACTGTCCAACACGGTAGCTACCAACCATGTGTGGCTACTGAGCACATGAAATGTGACACGTCCAAATGGAGATGTGTTCCAAGTGTAAAGTACACACTGGAGTTTGAAGACTTAGTACCAAAAAAAAATATATATATATAAAATATCTCATTAAAATTGTTATACTGACTGCAAGTTGAAATGATATTTTGGATATTAGGGTTAAATAAAATATATTAAAATTAATTTCACCTATTTTCCTGTTTTATGTTGCTACTAGAAATTTTAAAATTGTTTACCTGGTTCACATTATATTTCTATTGAACAGCTCTGTCCCAGGGCTTACCTCAGACCGCCCAAGATTGGACATCTTGTAACTGCAAATATTTTATGTGAGCAACTTGTTTAGGTGGTCTGTGGTTCATGGAAACAGACAGGAGGCCAAACATGCAAAAAAAGTCATGGAAACAAACAACTCTCAGGGACCTTAATACTGTGGTTTGCAGCAAAAAAGCAGTGAATGTTTGAATATCGTCGGTTGAAAGCTGGGACACAATTTCATCGCTGCCTACCTGTCACAAAAGCCTGTCGATCCCCAAAGCAGCCAACAGGCTGTAGCTGAAGCAAGCAATAGCCTTAAGGATATACACAATATAAAAAGCAAGGTGCATACCTTTGCTGCATACCCACCCTACACACACACAATCCCACATCATCTCCCTTCTTCCCTATTGCAATTAGGAAGGGAACAAGGAAGGACAGAGGACGAGGGTGTGCGACTTGGACAGCAATGACAGAGGGAGCTCTGGTGCTTGAGTG